AAGGGATTTCAGGGTTTATCTTTTCCATTTAAGGCCCAGAGGCCTAAGGAGACAGAATGGTCTTGGGGAACAGGCCTGAGGTGCCCACTGCAGGCTCACTGCCCAGGGCCACCTCAGGATGCTACTCCCCACAGCAGCACCTCAGCTGCTTTGGCTACTTCAGCTGTGGCTAAACTGGTTCCAGGTGTGGGTGGACCCACAGCTTTGGAAAATACAAGCCAGAAGCCTTGAAGGCATCCATGCAATGTTAATTCTGCAGGCTGGCAGAATGCCAGAGCAGTGAAGGATCCCAAGGTGGAGACACCCTGATTTCAAAGGACACAGAGAAGCCTGGCGACCCAGGAAGAGATCTGTCACAGGGCAAATTCACCAGTCAGCCTTCACTAGAGCAATGCTGAGTGGAAATGTGAGGTTAGAGTGGAAGAAGTGAAACCCCATTAGCTCCATGCCTACTGGAGGGGTGGGAGCAGGACCACAATGGAGACCCCAGAACTGTGAAGCTACCAGTGAGCAAAGCCAGCCTGAGAGAGCTGAAGCATGGCCTTTCGACCAGGAAAACCATAGGAGTGGAGGTGCCCGAGGACCTGAAGACCTAACCTCTGCACAGCACGCAAAGGACATCAAACATGCAGTCAAGGTAGAGGATTCACCAGCTTGAGACTTAGTGCCTGCCCTTCTGGGATTCTGACTTGTTTGGGACCTGTATCAGTCCATTTTGTGTTGCTATAACAGAATACCTAAGACTGAGTTATCCATAAGGAAAAGAGGTTTATTTATTTGGCTTATGATTCTGGGATAGCGTCTGGCACACGCCTCAGGCTCCTTCTACTTGTGGTGGAAAGCGGCAGGCAGGTGGCAGGTACAAGCAGATCACACGGTGAGAGGAAGCAAGGAACAGTAAGGAGGTGCCAGAGTCCTTTGAATAACCAGCTCTAGCAGAATAGAGCAAGAACTCACTCATTAATCCCCCCATGTAAGAGAGCACTGATCCATTCATGAGGGATCTGCCCCCATGACTCAATCACTTTCCAACACTGCCACATTGGGGATCAAATTGCCACGAGTGTTGGAGGGGACGACACATCCAAACTCCATTGAGACCTGCTATACCTTTTTCTTTTGGCCTATTGCTCCTTTTTTGAACAGGTTTATGTACCCTGTGCTTGTCCCACAACTGAATCTTGGAAGGAGATAACTTATTCTCATTTCACAGATGGGATTTTGAACTTGGGTCTTTTGAGCTGAAACAAGTGAAGCCTTTGGGGATGAAATAAATATATTTGTATGGGTAAAGAACATGAGTTTTGGGGGGCCAGGAGTGGTATACTGTGGATTGAATGTCCAACCCCAAACTCACTGAAGCTTAAACTGCATCCCCAAAACTTCCAAATGTTGAAAACTTGGTCCCCACTGTAACTGTGGAGGGTGGGAGATCCTACTGTGGTAATTGAAGGTGGGGCCTTGAAGAGAAGATTAGACTATAGGGCCATGTGGAAGTGAATGGATTAATAATGGTGGTCATGGGCCGGCCCGGTGGCGCACTGAAGAGTGCGCTGCTTGGGAGAGCGGCGGCGTTCCCACCGAGGGTTCGGATCCCATGTGGAGACCGGTTCCCACTCACTGGCTGAGTGCGGGGCGGGCGCAACACCGAGGGTTGCGAGCCCGTTGCCGGTCCCCGGTACGGGCGCGACACTGAGGGTTGCGATCCCATTACCGGTCAGTAAAAAAGACAAAAAGGAAAAAAAAAAAAAAATGGTGGTCAGGAGTATGGTCCTGAGGGCTTTAAAAGGAGAGTACATGAGAGTCTCTCTCTGCTCCACCATTTTCTTCCATGTTGAGACCCTTGCATGGCTACAAAGCCATCACCAAAGAAGAACCTCACTAGATGTGTTCCATGGATTTGGACTTGCCAGCCTCCAAAACCTATAAGCAATAAATTTTGTTTTCTTACAAATTACCCAGTTTTATGTATTTTCTTTTAAGCAAAAGAAATGGACTACTACAAACTTGAAAATAAACTATTAAATAATTCCACTGTTAGCATGGTGAATGAAAGAACATTAGAGTGTAAAGGGATAAAATAGAAACTCAAAAGAAAACAGAAAACATCAAACTAAGAATTGAGTTGTTTTTTTGTTTTTTTAAAGGCAAAATTGGCAAGATTTGGCTAGGTTAACCAAGGTTAAGAAAAGAGAGAGAGAGCTCAAAAAATTATAAATTAAAGAGGAGACACTACAAGTGATACCACAAACATACAAAGGATTATAAAGGACCACTATGAACAACTGGATGCCAAATATAAGATATCTGAGAAAAAATAGACAACCTTTTA